TGGTAGGCGAGCAAGTGAAACTTCATCTGCGCATGAGCGGGATCTAGGTTGCACATATCTCTCCCCCCCAGGTCTGTGGAAGATAATTTTTCTTCCAAAACTGCTCCTTGGTGTCAGAAAGGTTGGGGACCACTAACTTAGACCCTCATACCAATATTCGCAAGGAACTAATAATGTTCCTTGCAAATAGTGGTACGATGATTTATAAATTTATGTCTTATAGCTCAGCAATTCAACTATTTCTCTTATGCATATTAGGGCTTAGGAAACTTAGACAACTTAGAAAACAGGGCTGTTGTGGTCTTTAAACACCCAAGCTCACCTCTTACCTGTCCCTGAGAAAGGCTGAGGATTTTGGAGAGGTTTTCCAACAATACTTGGCCTGCAAAGCTATGAGCACAAAAGACAACAAACCATCTGAGACTCAGTAGTTCTACACAGCCGATCCAACACCAATAGTGCTACAGTGTAATTTAACCATGGTTAGTTAATAGTTTAATTAAACTTGTATGCTATCCGATTCTCAACAAATCTGGGCAATAGATAACCGAAAGATGGTAAACGGGTGTAGATGGATGATGCATGGATGCGATAAAGAATTGGTATGGTATGGTATGGTGGTTAAGGTATTGGGTGAATAATGGAAAGTTTTGTACATCTAAGCCCAAGAAAATAAATGGAGGTAAAGATAGGAAAACCACACGTAAAATAAAATAAAAGTAGGAATGATATGAAGGGATTGGAAAAGTGTCATGCTGTGTATAATAGAGGGATAGGCAAAGAGAAAAATATCATGCCAACTTTGAAATAAGTGTCCTTTCAAAAAATACATTCACAAACAAAATTGTCCATGCAACAGTTAAATATATCATAACAAAAAAGGCAGATAAACAAACATTAGTCCATAAATATATACCTATCCTTGGGGAGGTGGAAGTAATATTACACCAAAGTTAAGGAATTAAGGAATGAGATAAGAAAGAGAGAGAAAGAAATGCAGCCGAATCTAGTTTATACTGGATCAATGACGTAATGCTCTCAATACTTTCCTTCACCCACTGCCTCTTGTTTTTAAACTTTTCTCCTCTTTTTTGTTCAGGATTTGTTAATCAACTACAATTTTCTTGATGTTTATTTATTTGAGTTCAGAGAGCAGCTCTGAGTGGCTTACACTTTAAAAAGCAGAATAAAAGATATTGTGTATGTCAGGGAGTGTGGGAACCATACACGATACTCTATAAAATTTCCCACAAGAGCCCAACGCCTATTCTAACCCAAGGACAGAAAACAGCCAGGTTTTTCATTATTATTTGCCTTAATTCCAAGATCTTTATAATATCAGGGTTGGAGCCATAGGAATCTCTGCGGGAATATTGCTTTAGAAGACAAATATCACAACAGAGAAGAATACCATTTTGCTTGACTCATTCGTTGTGCACTGGACATGGTAGGCCGATAAATTCAAATAAAGTTAATAATCCTCCCTTCATATATAGGCTTCACAATTTGATCTTCATCCTTTTTTATGAACAAATTCAATGATTTTTAATATTCAAACTACTTATCGACCATTGTTTTTGATGCTTTTTCTTATTGTAGCACTCACACTGCATTCCATTTAGGGTCTTTATGGGTAAGCACTGAACTGTCCAAGGATGTTGACCTATTGGCCCCAATAGAGAGAGATTTTGAAGAGGAACAACACAACACTGACTTGCCCTCAGAGTCATCAGCCACAGAATGACAGGCAGTCCTTCTTTAGCTATCCCAATTATGACCAGCAGCTTCATCATTAAGCAAAGCAGTCGCTAAGTGAAGCCACCCCTGTGCTTATGATGACTTCAGTTTTGCTTTACAGACCCACAAAGGTCATAAATGCAAAGATTGGTCAAAAAGTTACTTTTTCATCACAGTTGTAACAGCAAGCAGAGGCTCAACGAAGCCGAAGCTAAACAAGGACTGCTTGTAATCAATCTGGAGAACATAATTAAAATGCATGCTATATTTTAAAATAATTGCCAAGTATAGAGCAGTGGTGGCGAACCTATGGCACGCATGCCAGAGGCGGCACTCGGATCCCTCTCTGTGGGCACACACAGTTGCCCCAGCCCCGCCTTCTCCCATGGCCCCCTTCTCACCAGCAGCCCCCCCAAGGAGAGTCACCCCTGGGCACGGCCCACGTGAAGCAGTAAACATCCAGCTTTTTAGGACATGGTAGCCAGGCAGCGGGGACAAGACTTCGCCCTTGCGCCATGTCGCGCGTAGATGAGGCTGCGGGGCACGGGCGGAGGGCACGGCCACCATGGCGCTGCTGGGCTGCCTGGGTGATCTGTGGCGGGCCATGGAGGTGGTGGGTGGCCCAGCGGGCAGGGTGGAACGGGGACAGGGGTGGGGGTGCGGTTTTGGGGCACTCGGTCTCTAAAAGGTTTGCTATCACTGGTATAGAGCAATGGTGGCGAACCTATGAGTGCCAGAGGCGGCACTCAGAGCCCTCTCTGTGGGCACGCGAGCCATCACCCCAGTCCTAGGCCCTCAGCTGGGTTTTATAAAATCTTTTCGCTTTAGGCCTCCGCTGCCATGTGCAAAAAAAAAAAAAAAGATTCAATCAATCAGTCAATTTCAACTTCTCTGGGAAAAAAAAAGATCTTGCAAAGTTGGAATTGATTGAACTTTTTAGTCCGTCTGCCGTTACCACCGCAGCCACGACCACCCAATGGGCCACACCCACCCGGCACCCGACGATGCATAAGTGGGTTTTGGGTTGCAGTTTGGGCACTCGGTCTCTAAAAGGTTCGCCATCACTGGTCTAGAGCAAGGCAGAATAAAGTGGAAGAGGCAATGACAAAAATTTTGGCAATATAAAGAGCGGACGGTTCATCCTCACTGGGAATGCTTTGGTGGAAAACTATACAGGGGTCAATGAACGAGAAAGGTGTTCGAGTGGCCAATCTGAACCCCCTGCCAGCAACCGAAGCCGAGCAGCAGCAGCAAACCTTTTGTATGGAAAAACTGACCGAAGTTAGCCCAAATCCAGCCAGTTGCTTTTAATCCACTTTTCACCCCACCAGCAGGGAGCCTAACGTTAAAAGCACACACACAGAAGCAGCAGCAGAGCCTCTGGGCATGTGCAGACATCCCCTTTTACTTCCCCACCATTATTCAGGATGTGGGGTTTGGGGCGCCTTCGGAGGAGAGGGAGACCCGGGAGGCAAACGAGAAGCCCCCACAGGGAGCTCGTCCCCCCCGCCTGGCTCTTACGTTGTGCTCCACGTGCCCGGCGTCTCCCTTGGGCCGCCCCCCAAGCCCCATCGTTAAGTACTTCGGCTTCGCCCACATCTCGCCCTCTCCCCCGAGGGCGACCCTGACCGGCCGCGACAGTTACACGCTACGGGAACAAAGAGGGCGCGACGACGCGGTCTTTATAACCGATGGAATGGGGCGGGGCCGCCGTAACTGTTGCTATGGGAATCGAGCAGAGGGGGCGGGGGCTCGGCGGCCTCCTCACGTGGCCCGCCCCGCGGCCAGTTTTACGCTGGGTGAGGGAAAACGCTGATGACGTAACACTGTTGACGTTCTACTACGGCAGGCCACGCTGGGGAGGCCTTCTTCTGGGCCGGAAAGACTCCATTTCCCAGAAACCTCGGGACAGGGCGCGTCGTTTCCTGCATGGAAGCTGCCCGTGGGACGGCGCTTGCTGCTCTTCGCCTGCAGCCCCTCGTGGGGTAGGAGAGGGGTCTGGTGCTGCGCGTGGCGGAGGATTCCCCGCACGGCTCCGCGGGGTTGACGGAGGAACCAATTTGCTCCCGGTATCTTGGGGATGGCGCCGGAGGATCTCTTGGGGAAGGGGAGAAACTCATTTAAAGCAGCTTCGACTTGGCTGCCTTATAAAGGACCGTGCCACGCGTCCGCGATTTTTGCGGGAGCACAGGCCGCAAAATGTGCGTTTTGTAGTAGGGAGCGGTTTTGTTTACCCATAGTTATGTGAATTAACGAAGAATATTAGTAGCTCAGGGTTGAAATGAAGGGCCCTTGGTGGTCTCTGAGCTTGGTCCTTTGCTTGCAAACGCTTCGTTATCAAGGCTAGGGGCTGCCCCAAAGAAGAGGGAGTCAAGCTCTTCTCCAAGGCGCCTGAAGGCAGGACAAGAAGCAACGGATGGAAACTAATCAAGGAGAGAAGCAACCTGGAACTAAGGAGAAGCTTTCTGACAGTTAGAACAATTAACCAGTGGAACAACCTGCCTCCAGAAGCTGTGAATGCGCCAACACTGGAAGTCTTTAAGAAGAGATTGGACAGTCATTTGTCTGAAAAGGCATACGGTTTCCTGCCTGAGCAGGGGGTTGGACTAGATGACCTCCAAGGTCCCTTCCAACTTTATTATTATTATCCTCACGATCGCTGATGATGACACCTAGTTTGGGTACTGAAACGTTTGCAAGAAAACCACCAAGCTCAGAAAGCACCAAGGACCCCTCATGATCTGAATTACCTGCACCCTCTTATCTGAAACTTGCAAAACATCCCTATTAGAAATGGTTTTGTACTGTCTCTTTCTCTTTAAACCCACCTATTTGAATTATTATTTATTTCATGGCTCTTTGCATTTTTCAGTAGGCAAACTACATTATTGTTCATAAGATAAAACTTCCATGTGTAGGAAGCATATTGCTTAAATCAGCGAAGAAAATATCCTGCCATTCTGACATCCTATCTGTGAAACAGCACTTTCACATACAAGGAAGTATACCTGTTAACCTGTGTCTCATTCCAGAGGAAGGTTCACTTCTGTAGACATGAACAGCAACTCTAATGCATGATGAAAAGCAGGAGAAATGAAGTTTGGCCTTGAAAAGAATAAAATAATCATTTCACTTCATACATTTAATTTAATCTATACATCCAGAAGTTAAAACTTTTTAAAAGTACAGGAGTTCAAAGAGGGGAATGTGTGTGAAGTATCTTGGGGGGGGGGGGGGGAGAAAAACCAAACAAGGATCCTTTTACTTGACTGTATTTCAGTAGGTTTTGATTCATCTTCTGCCTGCCTTTTTATAAGGTAATATTTACATTCAAATAATATGATCGGAAACGACGATAGGTTTTAAAAAAAATCTTTTGCCAGAAAGTAGCCATTCAGATCCAAAATACATTTTAAGAGTAAACGAGTTAGGGTTTGGAATTGGAAAGAAATAAAAATAGCCTAGCTGCATTAGCTTGGCTCTTTGGGATCGACTTAAGTTCTTCTGTGTGTGACCTTTTAAAGATTCCAGGTTCTTAGGAGGAATAGACGTTCCTAGGCACCACGCCGTTGGCTAAGTCACAGCGTATCCCCCAGCGCAGGGCAGATCTCTTCTTCTCTGTGGGCACCAGGTAATTGTTGGGGATGTAAACAGGCTGAGCCTTAGGAGGCAGTTCTGACTTGTAGAGCATCTGTTCCCGAATGCTCCAGCGTACACCTTTCCTGGGATCTTCCCCCGGAAGCCGCAGGGATTCCCAGTTGTGCTTGTGTTCCAGGTAACGGGCAACCCGATCGGTCTTCGGTCTGTTCCGATTGAGCTGCTCCAACTTTGGCAAGATGAAGGACTTGGGGTGGGCGGTTAGGATGAAGTCCTGCTCAAAGGATGAAGAGCTGAGGCTCTGGCTCTCTTTCCGGGAACACTGATGCCGGCTTTCCTCCGAGGGGCTCCAGGAGTAGACTGACCCAGGGGAACTTTGGGGCTGGTTCCCCTCCACACACTCTTCCTCCTCTTCCTGAGCGTTCAGAAGGTACATTCTCTGATTTAAGTTCTCACACTCAGGACTGGATTGTTGGACACTTGGATTATTGGATTCTGTCTCACTAGTGAGGGATTCATCCGTCACTTGCACCTCTCCGTCAGGCGTTCGCCTCAGAACTTTCCTTTTCATCACAGGTTTCTTAGAAACTCTGGAATTCTCGGGGTCGTCTGACTGGAAGCTGGCTTCTGTCTGACCTTGCCTGATCACTGTGGGAAGCATCGGTCTGGCCACTGAGGCCACCGAGGCTCTCGGGTAGGGGTCCAGCTGAGGGGCCGCTTGAAGCTGCCTCGGGCTATCACCATCACCCTGTTCTGCACACATGCGAATAAAGTCCATGGCGGCGGCTTTGAGCCGTTCTTCCCTGCTCATAGAGTTCCATCGGTATCGGTTGGGTCGTATCAGGGCTTGCATTGCTTCTCTCAGTCGGGGTAGTTAGCAGTTCTGGAAGAGATGAAAAGCTGGGTTTGTACAGTCTGCTAAGTCTTACAACTCACACGTATTGCTCAACCCCATTTCTATCAGCCCATCTTGTTATTTATAAATAGGATGGGCTTTTGTTGACAGTTGTGAAGGCTGCCCCTCCCCAGCTCCTTTGGCCAGATAGGCTGAGACACACCTAGTGCACATCCCAACTTTTTCAGGCAAAGGCATATACACCCAATCCCTTCCTCTCCTGGAGATGATTTGAGGGAGTGTAGTAACTCTCCAACAGCTTGATAAGTGCCTGCGATTATTCTAGGGAGCAAGGATGGAGTTTATTTCCGAAGGAATATATAAGCCAAAGAAGGAATGTACAGTAGTGCTTTGTTATTTATCTCTCAATGCTCTTTAAGTCCCTTTTCCCCCCTCTGCAAACTCAGCAATTATCGGCATTTCAGTTTTCCTTTAAAATAACTTGTGGCTTTGCAATACCTAGAATCATTTTCTAAATAAGCATAGTAAAATGGTGCACTTTCCAGTGAAACCAATTTGTGTGTCTCCCTTTTCTTTTAAACCACCTTCTCACTTAACAACTTAGAGCAGCTTTTTAAAAAAAAACATTAATTTAACTTTATACTGCCTGACTCCAATCAACTCTGGGCAGTTCACAATATAAAAATAAATAACAAATATAGAGAAAAGACAACAACAAGATGGCAGGATTTTCCGAGTTAAACATATCATATACCTGCCAGCCTAACTCAGTGACTAGGAGAAGGATCAGGCCTTTAAAGCTGTCTGGAACACTATTAGGATTGAAGCCCCTCGGATCTCATTCCAGAGGGCAAACACCACGATGTAGAAGGAATGCTTTTGGGGTCCCGATAAATGGCATTAGTGGGCGTGCTCTGAATGCCTTCAGGATGCCAGCAGGGGTTTATTTGTTCGTATATTAATATGCCTACCTGGGACAGGTACCTTTTGCTCCTCTTTAGCCAACTTAGAAATGGAGGATCCCAGTAGAAAGGTGGTTTAAAACTGATTCTTCTGTAAGTGAACAAAAGCAGACACGCAGTTCTCAGTAATTAAAATCATAGAATCCCAACAAGCTTTCTCTACAGAAACCAAACAACGGTTGGCAAGCGAGCAGCAAATTAATTTTCTCCAGCCGAATAATTTCTAGCAGCATATACAGATTGCATGACTTTGGTTATTCCCAGAAAGATCCTTTTTCCACTTCCACTGCATTTTCATATTGCAGGATTCTTTTTTTTTTAATAGTATTCCACCAATGGCCAAAGGCACAGAAGAAACAGAAAGGCTACTGAAGAGAATCCAGGAGCTGGAAGAGACGGTGCAAAAGCTAGAAGGCAGACTCTTGGAAAACAGGAAAGGTGAAGGGAATGGCCTCCCAGCATCAGGAAAGGGGAAGAAACGTCCACAGCGGCCATTCAATTTCAGTGCGTATGCCCAGAGGCATGTGGCACTAAAGATTGCCTACCTGGGGTGGGGATATCAGGGCTTTGCCAGCCAGGAGAACACCCACAACACAATAGAAGAGAAACTGTTTGAAGCTCTGGGAAAAACTCGGTTGGTGGTCAACAGACAGACTTCTAACTATCATCGCTGTGGACGCACCGACAAGGGAGTCAGTGCTTTTGGACAAGTAAGACTCGTATTTAATTTATACTAAAATGAGGACGGGGCGAACACAGAACATGCGTTATTGCAACAAATAATGCTCCCCCCTCCACTTTTTAAAAGGCTATGTCAACATTAATTGTGCAGAAATGCTTAGTGAACTTCATTAACAATCTCTTCTGGAACTTAAGAGTCTGATAGCACCTTTTCCAATTAATAAATGTTAAATAAGCGTTTGTGAAGTACAGCTCATTTGATCATATTCACCTGATAAAAGCTTACAACTGTTAATAACATGTTTAGACAATAAAGGGTGCTTTTAAAATCCTGATTTTTTTTGGCCACCACAGAGCTCTCTTCCTACAACCCATATAATTTAATGTGCTTTGTTAAAGATTTGGGCTATTGCCCATCTTATAAGCCAATATTTAGTCAACTGCACAATCAAGTTAGAACTCAGTAATATTGTTATACAGCATGATAACTGTATAGTTAGAAAACTCTGAACATAAGAACAAAAACTACTTATTTATTATTAATGCATTACAATGGTTTAAATTACAACATTTGTAAGTAGACAGTTAAGAGTGCATCTATTATGAAATTAAGAGATGAGCCTGAGCATCGATCTGCAACCGATGACAATCTATTTCTGCAAAAAGATTTAGCTATTTAGAAAAGGTCTATTATTGCAAGTAACAAACATCTGTTTAATCAAAGCAATTAAGGTCCAGAGTTTCCAGGAAAAACTACTCCAAAACATTTATCCAGTAAAATGCTTTAATGGACAATGGGAAACTTTTGTTATACATAAATGTCTGTTAAATGCAAAACTAACATGTTAAATGCAAAAGCACTTTATATAATTTGCCAGTGTCATTTCCATTACAGTAATGTCATTTAGGCCAAAATGTATTCTGGGCCTAACACCATTATGCAAATGACCTATATTGTCATGGAAATGTAGTCCATTGCATGCAGAATCTTATAAAGCCCCACTAAATCAAAATTATTTCTACTGCAATCCCAATGATAGTGGTATTTCAGCATTAAGGTTCTGGTTGTAATTATATTTTATTGGCACAAGAGGCACTTCTGAATGTATTATAAGTAAACAGGAAAATTATGAAAACAACAGGATATCAAAAAAATTATACCTCAGCCAGTTAGTTGAAAGCTCTTCACCACTGGATAAACAGGAAAATTATTCAATGATAATTCAACTGAAAATGTGTATCTAACCCTAGAATCACAATTTATTTGCAATGTTTCAGGTGATCTCTTTGGATCTCCGGTCAAACCTTTCAGAGAATAAATCCGTGGTTGCAACAGAAGGTAAAAGTCCTATTTCAGAGGAGATCCGCTACACCCATATTTTGAATCAGGTGCTCCCTCCTGACATAAGAGTATTAGCATGGGTCCCTGTAGATCCTAGCTTCAGTGCTAGATTCAGTTGCCTGAAGAGGACCTATCGCTATTTTTTCCCCTGTGCGGACCTGGATGTCGCTCTTATGAATACTGCAGCTCAAAGATTTGTAGGGAACCACGATTTTCGTAATCTCTGCAAAATGGATGTAGCCAACGGTGTGACCAACTTTCAGAGGACAATCCTGTCTGCAGAAGTGAAGCTTGCAGATCAAGAAAGGAAAGTGGAAGAACAAAACCCTTTCCAAATGTATGCGTTTCAAGTAACGGGACAGGCATTCCTCTATCACCAAGTCCGCTGCATGATGGCCATCCTCTTCCTGATTGGGCAAAGGATGGAGAAGCCTGAGATTATTGATGAATTGTTCGATATAGAAACCAATCCTAGGAAACCACAATACAGGTAGGAATTCCTGAAAGCATGCACACTCTTACTGCATTGGCTCTCTATATTTGAGCATGCCTTGTTAAAATTATATTTCATAATTTGGATCTCTTGCCAAAAGCTATAGCATTTTCAAAACAATGTGCGCTCTTTTGGAATTACGTGATTTGTACTAATTCAAGTTGATTACCTTGCAGCATGGCAGTGGAATTTCCTCTAGTTTTATATGACTGTGAGTTTGAAAACATCCAGTGGATCTATGATCATCAAGTCCAGGAATTTAACGTTACACGCTTTCAGCAGCTTTGGACGAACCACGCTATTAAAACTCAGATGCTGTACAGCATGTTATGGGGCCTGGATTTTGCAAAGATACCTACAGAGCCAGGTAGGAAGAATGATATTTTTAAACTGTATTGAAATGAAGCTTCAATTTAACATGTGGTAGATAAAATCTGCTGGTATACTATGTGTTTTGGTCTATCTGTAAAATTCAATGTTGTCATTTTATACACATGTACAACTCTCTTCATGTATAATGAGCATTTTGTTTCGAAAGAACCATTTCCTTTTATTTAACTAATATATCCAGCAATATGTTAAAACTGTATTAAGTGGAGTGGTTTTAACAAGTTCCAATATATTTAGAACTACTTCAAAGGTCAGAAGCAACTAGTGAATTAAATGCTATGATTTTTCTTTTTTTGTTCTGATGATGACTAATTGTTGATTACAGCTTCAAGCAACAGCACAACAATACTCTGGAGAGAGGTAACACCACCAGTCCACAACCAGATCAGTGCTTTAATCGAGGGAGTGAAAGCCCGCAATTACAAACCGTTAATGGATCGGCCCAAATGTGAAGGTCTAGAATCTCGTATCAGTCATTTTGTGCGCCGAGGACGCATTGAACAACCAAATTTGAAAAAAACAAAGCATCCTGAAAGGGAATTTGATGAGCAAATGGAAATTAAGAGCAATCAGGTGGATTCTATTGAATTCGACAAGGAAATTCCAGAACAAGCTGCAAAAAGGATATGTATTAGTACAGACTGAATTTTATTGACGCTATCTTGCTATCTTTAAACAAATGAAATTACCTTAAGCAGATATCTAAAATTATAATGGTAATTACATTACATGTAGACTTTCATACATTCCCTTTAACCTTCAAAAAATAAATATTTTGTTATATAACTAACAGGCAGATATCCAATTATTTAAAAAAAACTGAATCAGATCCTGATATTACGTTTTTGTTTAACCATTAGATACTTTCCATATGCAGCCATAAATAGTTGTAAATAATGATTTTAAAAATTATACTTGCCAAAACAGTAATTCAGAATATGGTGGAAGCTATACAAGTAGGTAACGCTTCCAAGGGAATTGTATTTTAATAATTTCGTTTTCTCCAGAAAATACTAGTTATGCAAATTTCTCGGTCCTTTACATTTCTCATATTTTTAAAAAACTTTTTTTTTTACCTGCTTTAAACATTTGGTGAGAACTAGTCTGGCATACAGGGTAAGGTATTGGCTAGAAATCAGGAGATTATGAGTTCTAGTCCCACCCTGGGCACAGAGATATAATGTCAAACTATTTTCTGAAAAACCTTATCAAGAAAACTTGTCCAAGCGATCTTCAAGAATTGGACATCATTGAACAGAAGAAAAAACACACTCGGCAGAAAATCTGAATATGATTTCATTGTCTCTCATGAAGGAAGATCCTGAAGATTACTCCCCTGGAAATCTCTACATACACTTTATGAACAGCATAATGTAATTACAGAATGCCATATGAAATATTTTAAAAAATCATCTGTTGAAATGTACAGCAATCAGTGGACAAAGACATAAAAAGCCTCAAATCATAAGCTTAGTTCATACATTTTACTAAATCAGAATATGGTATCTTCTTAGCATAACAAGTGAATTCAGTCATTATGGATTGCAAACCATGGCGTACAACTTAGTGCAGGCTCAAATATGGTGCTTATGACACCTGAAACCCATTTCCATGGCTGTACAATATAATAATAGATTGCAAAAGTGTCCTTTTGTACAAAATTATTCAGCTAAAAATAAACAATCATGCAGCCTATGAGGAGTGATCAAATTTAGAATAGTTGGGAATATTAAACGGCCAACATGGCTTTTTTGAAAAAGTAGTTAAATGGCGAATTGATGTAATTTATAAATCTAGCCCTTCAGAAGTTTTTACATGAGTGATTAGGCTCTATAAGCTAATTTTCGTAATACATCCCTACCTACACCATTACTTTGGTTGGGTTGACACATTAAGCCAAAAGTGGCTTGTGGCTTAGCATAATACGTAAACTAGACAATGTAATTATTGTACCATGATTTAGCATTTGCATTTTTACCCAAGCGAGTCAGTGATTAGTTATTTAATAAATCAAAGTAAATCATGATTTAGCGTGTCTGTGAATAGTTCCCTATGAAGAAAGAAATTGTGCAGTCTTCAAATGTAGTAACTACACCCCTAACTGGATACAGCAATCAAGCTCTTCCTATCACACAACTGATGCTATTTTGTTTACAAGAATTAAATAGGGCTCTCATACCTGTAATATCTTCTAGCAACTACCATTCCTTCAAAATGTTCATGAAATTGACCTGGAAAAGAAGCAAAAGAATAAATATTAAGACCTACACTAATTGGGGTTAACAACAAATGGAAAAATTCTGTAGCGGAACGAGGTTTTGCTAACATTTATAGCAAAAATACTGCGTTTCAAGTTCTAGCCCTCACAGAATCCCTTTCGGGCTAATTCTCTGACCCATTTCTACTGAGCAGCCCCTTAGAACAGCGGTTCTCAACCTATGGGTCGGGACCCCATTTGGGGTCGGTCGACCATTTCACGGGGTCGCCAAGCAAGGCTGCCCGCCATTTTTTCCCCCTTTTCCGGCGGGTGCCTTACCTCCCTTGGGCTGGGCCAGCTGGTGGTCGGCCTGCTCCGTCTCTGCCGCTTGCCAGCTACGCCTCGGACGGCGCAGGGGGCGGAACCACGCATGCGCAGCGCCCCCGGGCAGGGAAAGTCCTCGACTTACGACCGGTTGGGTAGTCCTCGACTTACGACCGGTTTAGTCCTCGACTTACGACCGATTTATTCCTCGACTTACGACCGGTTTAGTCCTCGACTTATGACCGGTTTAGTCCTCGACTTACAACCAGTTGGGGGTCGCGGCATTAAAAAGGTTGAGAACCACTGCCTTAGAATAAAATTATTTTGTGGTCACACCGTTTATATTAGGGTTAGGCTTACTTATTCACGTTACAGATCACATATATTAAAACGAACATCATTTACTGCGAAGGAAGCTCCCACCCCAGCAGGCTTCCGAGGCTGCTGCTTTGTAACTTTCCCATCCACGGGGACGGGGTTTCTCAACCTCAGCCACTCAGTGGGGACTTCAACTCCCAGAATCCCCCCGGTCAGCATGCTGAGGGTTGAAACGCTGCTTTCCGAGGCTGGAGAGCAAGGACTAAACGCCACAAAAAGAAAAAGTGGGGTTTTCTCCTCAGCCTCGCGCTTTCACCGCCTCCCCTTCTTCTAACCGCCTCTCCGGCCGGCTCCGAATCCACCCGCTTCTCTTCCTGAGCGGGCTGAGCCTCGCGACGCTCCCCCGGCTCGGTCCCACCGCGAGTACCTGGCCGCCACCGCCCGCGCTGCCTTCCCGGCTGCCAGACAACCGTTAACGCCGCTTCTCAACTGCCGTTCTTGAAAACCAAGACCCACCTAGCCGCCGGCACGTTCCTATTGGCTGTAAAGGTTCCCTTCTTGTCTTTCTCATTGGTCTGCCCAGCTTTGCTCCGCCTCTCCCTGTAGGTTATTGGACGGGGAGAGAGAGAAGGTGGGGCATTGAGCGTCGCACCGACGTCTCATTGGACGGACGTCGCGATTGGTGGGCCTCCTCCGGGCAAGGCGCGAGGATAGCCCGCGAGCGAAAGGGGCGTGACGTGAAGAGTTTAGTCCACCCCCTTTCTGACGTCACGTGGACACGAAAGAAAATGGCCGCCCAAAACGTTCCTTGCTCATTTCTGCGAGCCGCCGCTCTTCGGAGGAGTTTTTCCCACAGTCCAGCCGCGGCCGCTTCGGTAACCGCTGAGCAGATGGCGGAGAAGCTGCGGGAGCAGAAGAAGCCGAAAGTGGCCCCGGAGGTGAATCTGTTGGCTTGATTGGGAATCATGAGGTTGGGGCAGTGTTTCTCAACCTTGACAATTTTAAGGCATGTGGACTTCAACTCCCAGAATTCCACAGCCAGCATTGCTGGCTGTGGAATTCTGGGAGTTGAAGTCCACATGCCTTAAAATTGTCAAGGTTGAGAAACACTGGGTTGGGGGTTGTTGGTTTTTCCCAGCATGCACCACGGAGAAACCACACTTCCCAGCGTGCATTGGTCGTTAGAACTTTGAAAATTAAGCGAACTGGGTCTCCCAGCTACGCGCGATGCGGCAATGGAAGTTTTGTGATGTGCAAAATCCTAGAAGGATTTGTTGAGATGCAGGAATAATGACGTGTGTTACCCTCCTTGTTCATTGTGAAGGATTCTATTGTGTAGACAATTTACAGACACAGCTTGACTAGTAAGTGATCTGACCCTGGCTCTGGAACTATCCTTCCTATTCATAGCATTTCTTTGCCCGCCATCCTGTTAGCTTTCCAATAAAATCGTTCATATTTTATATTTATATGAATATTTATATTTTAGGCTACCCAGGACTTGCATTGAAGCAAGCTGCAATAATCTTCAAAAAAAAATAATATACATTCTCTTTAGCTGTTCAGTTTTGTTCCATCAGATTTATTTGAATCTATCTTTGAATAACAATTAGCGGATTCTCCAAACTTGGAAAAGCAGACTTTAAGAAATGAGATGGAAGAACTGCTCTCTCTCTCTCTTCCCCCTCCTTCTCTCCCCCTTCTCTCTCTCTCAGCCATACTATCATTTTTTCTATAGCACCTTCACATTAATTTTCACCCTTCCCTAAAAGCAAAAATCCCCCTAACATATGTACTTTCTATGTAGCACCTTCTTTGACACCTTGTCTTATATGCATTTCTGCTTTGTTATATGCTATTGCTACCAAAGCTGTGCAGTAAAGAGACTAACTACCTGACTTGTTCTTCATTGACTATTCAAAGGTTCCAAAAGACCGAGTACTGAGGCGAGTGCAAGAATATGTTCAGCAGACCCGATGCTTCCAGCAGCTCCATCCTAACGTCCTAGCCAAGGTTCTCAAACAGGGGGTGCTCTACACGAACGAAGATATTGTAGTAATAAACAAGCCTTATGGACTTCCTGTCCATGGTAAGTGTAATATAATGCTGGTTTTCTAGCAGTGTTGATCAAAATGTATTAGACTAGTTGGGTAATAAAAGTCCTGCTGAGACGTCAAATGATTTTGCGTCGGTTTCTGAGGCTTTATAAGTCTTATTTTGCTTTCAGAATGTAGCTTGAGACTTCCTAGTTATATATGTGGCAGATGCTTTATATTGTGGATTCTCTAAGCAAACCCTGCTGTCAGGGTTTTTTTTCTTTTTGTATACTGCATAGACTGGTATTAAAACCGATGAAAATAAACTGGCATCATCGTATGTCTGAGCATGTATGTTTTGATGGTAAATATTGGAGGAGCAACAAAAAGAACACCCAACTCTCAGATTACACTAATGTGTGTTTTCACAGGTAGCTCAACATAAAAAATATGTTTTTTCCTGAAACTGGTCCAACTTGAGTTTGATATTTGGAAATGCTGTAGCACCAATAAAAAAACCCAGTAGCTTTGGAAATTAGGTGATTTGTGTTAAGGATGAAATAGTTTGGTTAAGCTTGGTTGAATAAAGGCACCTAACAATTATTTGTAAGCCGGGTTTTATGCCTTTGCATTATAAATAAACCTAGTCTCTCTCTACTTCACAGGTGGCCCTCGGGTGAAGACATGCATTACAGATGTGCTGCCAATATTGGCAAAGATGTTAGGGGGCATGAAAGCTCAACCTCTGCATTTATGTCACCGGCTGGACAAAGAAACTACTGGAGTGATGGTCCTAGCGAAAGATGAGATGATTGCACACCGGGTCCAAGAGATGTTTAAAACCCGTCAGGTGGAAAAGAAATACTGGTAGGAGAAATCGTACAAGTGATGAGTAAGTTATTGCGACTTGATAAGAAACAGTGATTTTCAGTAAGCCAAGAATCTACTAAGGACCGCCCTTCTGCAGTATGAGTTATAGCAGGGGTAGGCAACCTTGGCTCTTTTATGACTCGTGGACTTCAACTCCCAGAATTCCTGAGCCAGCCATGCTGGCTCAGGAATTCTGGGAGTTGAAGTCCACGAGTCATAAAAGATTTAGATTTAGATTTTAGATTTTATTAAATTTATACCCCGCCCTTCTCCCGGAGGACTCAGGGCGGCTTACAGCCAGTTTAAAACAGTAATACAATACAAAATTTAAAAAGATTAAAAATAAATATTTAAATTTGGCCGCTTCTACTAAAAATTTAATTTAAAACCCCTTTAAAATACCCCTAGGCCAGTCCTGC